AAGCAGCTCAACAGTGGTGAAGGGTCCAGAATGGAGAGTTCTGTATCTGGCTGTCCGTCCTATGGAGACAGAAGAGACATCCGAAGCATGGTGCTATTTGGAGGAACTTACTGCTGGTACTTGTTGCCCAATTCCAGGGGACACCTAATGTGAATAGTAACTCCAAGTGTGAATAGTATCCCCTAGAATTGTGTAAAGCGGTGGTCTTGGATCATAGGGTGCTCACTGCAGTTCTGGGTATTTGACATGCTATTTGTAATTCTTATTGCCACCCCATGAACAAAGATTATGTTCCCTTTACGGGTGAGGAAGCCCAGCTCAGAGATGCTGTGTGCTATGACAGATAAGTGACAGATTGGGAATCTGAATGCATGTCTGTCCAATTACATTTTCATGTAGTTTCTTTCTGCACTGTACATACTACTTTATATACATGACACACGACATCGTAAGTTCTGGACTTTGTACCAAATGGATATTCAGCATATTTCTGGAAAGGTTTGCAGAAACACACGGAAACTCAAAGACAAACACACACAATGTCTGGAGAATCCCTTCTCTGCCTGTGTGGTCACATCTCTGGAGTTATTATCTTTAGACCTCTGGAGCCTGTGGACATTTTGTTAAGAGATGCCTTTTGGCTTCTGTAGGACAAAACAAGCCACTGTCATGTTGTTACCATGTCCCAGCACTGTGTTGCTGCTTTATATATGTGTTCTCGTTTCATCTTCATAGCAACCTTTCTTATAAACCAGGAAGCGTTCTGCTGCAAATAATGAAAAACCTGTTCCAAAGAGACTTAAATGGTGAGAAAATTCATTGATTCATCCAACAGGAAGATGAAAGGCAGTCTGGTCTCCAGGTCAGCATCTATTTTACCTCCACTGTATCCTGAGGTGCCCAGGGAGCTGTTCTTTTCCTGAGATCTTCAGAATGAGTCGCCATGTGGTGTCAGCACAGGGAGCCCAAGCAGCCCCGCATTTTGGAAGAGATACCTAAAAGCAGCTGCCCTGTGAGCTAGAGATTTAAATTAACCCTAGGTTCTCTCTCAAACTCAGTTATTAGGTCCTGTGTCCCAGCAGTTTAAGTATTCTCTGTTTTCAACTACACGAATGCTCAGTAGAAAACATCCCAGAGTTTCAATACCATATCTTGCAGAAAGCATAAGTCGGCTTTTGGGAACAGATCCCACTCATTCATTCTCAGCCAATCTTAGGGTGCTTCTACTCTGTATTATGAATGTCCTATGCTGTGTCAGTTGCTGGTGACACCAAAATGAAGCAAATCCAATTCTTGTTCTCTGGGAGCTCTCTAGGAAGACAAATGCATATACTATTGACTTTGACTTTGGTGTGGAGAGTAGGATCATAGGAGGGGTGAGCAAAACCCTGTGGGAACCCCACCTCTGTTAGGCCATACACAGGTTAGTCTAGTTAGTTTGTTCATTTCTATTAAAAGTTTCATTCCTGACTAGAAATTCTGCCTGCCACCTATTGGTTCTGTTCTCTTGGCCATTAGAACATTTTTTTTAAAAAAAAATTCAGTGCTGAGGATGGCACCCAGGACTTCACACATGCTAAACAAGCACTTTACCACTGAGCTACATACTCAGGCCCCATTAGCACGATTTTCAAATGCTCAACAATTTTGCTTTTCATTGAGACTTGGAAACAGAGTTCTTGTCGTGAGCCAGCCATGGGCTGTGTGTGTGAGCTGTAAGCATTTGAGCGCATGCAGGCACTGGACTGACATTGCTTCCCTGACTGGGCCATGCGACATGTTTGTGTCCTTTGCGCTTGCTCTGCTTTTGATCCCACACAGCACCTGAGATGGGTGTGGACTTTCAAGATGTCAGTCAATCTGCTGACCAGACTCATCCCCCTGAAACCTGACCCTTTGCCTTATTTGGAAAGAACATTCCATTGAACCTCCCCTTGTGTGCCTCCCTATAAAAATAAAGAGTCCAGGTGCAAGCTCTCTTTTTCCAATGGACCCCTAAGGTGAAGAGCCAACAGGGATTTTGAAAAGGTATTTCTGTGTGCTTGCATGCTTTCTTCACTGTTTGCTCAGTTATTGATGTAGCCAGATTTTGTGAACCCAGCATAGGTCGCCAGCCCGGCTAGCTGGCGATAAATTTCTAGGACAGGGTGTTTTTGATTTGCTGAAGTGGGACCCCAACTCATTTAAGGCAATATTAACACCCCTGGTCTTGTCTGGTGTGTTTGTATTCATTGATAAAACTTTTACAATGTAAGAGCTCTCCTGTAGTTCCTGGTGGACGAGTCTGGTTGGAGGAGGACGGACAGGAAGGTTTGGTCTTTTCCCCTCAATGGCCATTTGTTTAGATGACAAAGGGGCAGGAGTGGATGAGATTATTCACGAGAGGATTTATAATACATTGGGCACAAGAGACTTGGGTTATGGTTTGGGTGACAAAAGTGTACTGATTTGGCAGTTAGGGAGAAGGAATTCTTCAACTCTGAATGGAATCTGGCTCTGTAGATTAGAGTTTGGGAACAGTGATACAGAACACTGCAATCTAGAATGGGCACTGAACTCGGCGAGCTCCATTGGGCAGCAGGGCGACACAAAAGGTTAGTGGTGATTCCTGTCTCTGATCCCATGTGAGGCATTTCCTGTGGGACCCCTTAGAAGTGACTCAGGAATTTTTGGGAGGGAGGTTGAAACCTTCTTATATAAATAGGATCTTTAGTCAGTGAAATTGGGGACTGAAAGCTAATGTGACCATAATTTATGATTATGATCTCAGAAGCTAAGCAGCAAAGCAAAATGCAAGAGCAACTGAAGGAAGCATTAATTGAGTCAAACTCCAAAGGCCACCAGAAAAACTGTGACCTGAAAGTGGTAAATGAGATACTAAGGAATTTCTTTATTTTTCACTTCATTTACCAAATCCCTTTGTCTCCAAGACTTAGTAAGCAAGTTTATTCGTCTGAAAACTGTTTACTTTAGAAGAGAGACAAAACTTCTGTTAAAGTTAATATAAAGGTGTGTTGAAAACAGGAAAGGAATAACTTGCAGGGTTTGAGCATTCACATATTGATTGTTCAGTAAAGGCTTTCCGTTGCTAAACTCTAAAGATAAAAGCACTATTTTTAGTGTATTTTTGTAGATAGAAGGTTTGGATTCCAGCGCTTTTCCAACAGAGCAGAAGCACCCTGCACTGCCCAGAGCTTCCTCTTGTCCACAACATCCCTGAGGCAAGAGCTTCTATTATTATCATTCCCACATGACAGAAGAGACATTGAGGTTGGAGTATTAATACCCCGACACCCAAAAAGAAACAGTGGCAGTTTAAGACTCTGATGGAGGGCACTTTGAAGTTTGGATTGCTCCCAGACTGATGAGACCGGAAATACCAAAGGGACAAAGGATAAATGCACTTCCAGACCTTGTCTCATGGCCACACAGCAGCCCGTAGAAGGCTTGATGTGTGCCATCTTCAACCAGTGTCAGTTTTGCTTCTAAGGTCAGTGTGCCTTGTACATGTTCTCCTGAACAGCTGCAGTAATTTGTTTTTAGCATTGGGCAAAATGCTTGAGTTGAGTATACCTATGGCCAATTAACATGCCCACCCCTGCAAACAACCAATAAAAAGAGCTCCCTTTTGTTCAAGGAGCCAATCTTACATCTCCTTTTAGGGGCTGTCTCCCTTCCTAAATGGAAACCCCAATAAGAGGCTTGATGGCATATTGGCTTGATGGGCTTGATTTCATTTCCATTCTCATGAAGTTAAAAGATTCTAGTGTTTGGTAGCACGGACACGAGCACACGTGGTTGTCAACAAGGATTGCACATTACAGTGCTTTGAGGAGCTTTAAAAACTGCCACAGTATTCCGTGGTCAGACCAACTAGCATGGAAGATAAGGGTTACAGATGCGGGAGCCAGAGTTTGAATGCCGCCTCTGCTGCTTGGTAGCGGCGACATTAGCCAGGTGCTTGACTGTCCCCTCGTTTTTCTATTTGTAGAATGAGTATAACATCTTCTTTTTTTTAGGGTTATTTTAAGGATAAAAAGAGTAAGTAGTAGTGAGGCACTTAGAACAGGGTCTGCCACACGATAATCGCTATGTAAGATCTCGTCGAATACATTAGAGTAAAAACGGCGTTTATTAAATCAGTAAAGCAGTCTGGGCAGCGGTCTTGTGCAAGTACTCCCCGCAGGTTTTCTGTCTCTGTACATAATAGCTCCTTTTCTGGGACCCTGCCTCCTCAGTTGACACCAACTGAAGAGGGAAGAGAGCTTCTTATTTTTTTCCCTGGGATTTGGGAAACTCATTCTCGGGATCTGCGACGACCCACGCGC